GCATCGTCAGCCGTGGGAAATCCACTGCTGGTTGAAAGCCTCGCTCCCCAAACCCGTCGTCGCCTCTCCCGACCCTGCGATGTAACAATTCGCTTGGGGAATTTCCAGGCGTTTCCAGGCCAGCCGAGCGACATAGCGTGCCCTAGGCCGGCCCCGGGGCCTTCGCCCAGTGGGATGTGCCCGGTAGAGTTCCAGGGGGAGTCTATCGGGGGGCAATCTTACCGGGTGACCGAATCACCTCAACTGGCTCCTCTCGATCCAGAGGAGCAGCGGTTCGACTCCAAGGCTCTCCCGGATCACCGAGCTTCTCCCCAATTATGGAGAGTGAGCCCAGCAACCATGCGGAGAAACCTCAATTCGGCCCCTTGTACGCGTGATATCATTCTTTCGGTCATTACCCACAGCGCATGACCATAGGTGAGGGTGGGAATGTAGATCGACCTGTAAACCGAGAGCTTTGATGCTGGCACACGTGGCCTGCTCTGTCTCTAAATTAACATCACGGTCTCGTTGACGTCCACCGGTTAATACACCAGCAACGTTAATACACCCGCAGCATGAATAAACCCTTAACATTAACCAGGGTGGCCACGGGGCTTGAACCAGAAACCTCCAGTAACAAGCGACAAACGTGCCACCACCAGGCCCACGTCACCCACCTGTTATGCTGACGTTGAGGATGGTGATGTTAATGAAGCTTTTGGTGGAGTTATACAGTGCGTCGGCCACTTCCGACCAGCTCGAGACATTCCCAGGACTCAGAAGGATTTTCAGGTCTGCGTTAACGCTCCCGTTCCAGAACCTCTTCACGATGATGCCCACGTAGGAGTTCAGCCTTTTAGACATCTCTCGGTCCAGCTGCAACGGCAATCGGAGAGGCGAAGCGTTGAGATGAGGCGTGCAGACAGATTTCAAGGCAGAAGGGCAGATTGACAAGAGCCATTTATAATTATAACAATAACAATCATCATTTCGAGCCGTAAAGCGGCACACAGTAATTCGCTCAGTCTGGAATAGAGAGAACAACTCGGAGGGGCGAGGAGGAACCGCAGATAAGGAGGACAGGTAGCAGCAGCAGCCAGGTGGTCGAGCCGGCGCAAAATCCCCCACCCCCCGCCCACTCCCAAGTTCTACGGTCCTCTATATATCGAGGTGTTATCGGCCAATTTATGAGAATTCACATGCAGGAGGAAACCGTAGTGCCCGGATAAATCCCAGGAGCGCGAGAAGGCAATTCTCTATGCCGTAGAGATGGAAAGGAGTGGAGTTCATGTTTGCCTGTACGGCCATTCTCGTGGCGAGCCAGAGTTACGGGCACCTACTCGACGCCCGCCGGAAAGGAGTTTGACAACATCTGTGTGCGGTGATCCACCAATCCCTCGCTGCTGCTGCTGCTGCTGCCTCCGCAGCGCTGGACTACAGGCAGCAGCCACGTGCAGCGGGGCCGCCACCGCTAAGATTTACAGATCTGATGGACAGATGCAGTTTCACAGGAAGCCCTTTGGGCTTAGCCCAAAGTGGTGGGCCTCGTGTGGCGGCGTGGGATGTGTCCGGCCCTCGGCCCGTAGGATGCCCACGCCTGACGTAGGCCAAAAGAGCGCACGAATGCAGTAGTGGTGCTGGCCTCAACGGGGTGCCCTATGAAAAATTATTTTAAGCGCCCACCCCCAAACCCCTTTATAAACTCCAAGTGAGATGACAGAAGTGACAGAGAGAAAATAGACAGATGCAGCGATACTGGAGAGCCGGTGAAAAAGATGGCATTAGGCGAGAGAGGAGAGATAGAAACGAGGCAAAGACGAGAGTGAGTCATTATCCAATAACAAATGTTAAAGCCGACATGTTGAAGTTATTCATTACCTTTCCATTGAGTTTAGTTTTGTTGAGACTAAAACCTGAGCTGACATTTAGTTCTGACCCCACTTGCTGTACAAACCCAGGGCTCCCTGGGGCTGAGTTTGCTCACGGCCAGTGGGGACGAGGGGGCATTACCTCGGTCTTCAGTTCTGCGGCGAGTGCCGAAAACTCTTTGGACGTCGGAGACTCGAGGTTTTTGTCGAACACGCGGTCGATCCGCAGCGTGGCTTCATACCGGTTGAAATCTGCGGGGAAGCACGATCATTTTTACACAAGTGCGCATCTTAAGTTTTTTTCCTTTCCTTTCCATGAGCGAGCCTCAAGCGAGGCTTTCTCTGGGGAAAACATTTGAAGACAGTAAAAATTCAAACGTGTACAAAAACTTAGGAACATGAAGCGTGCATAGTTGACTTTAGTAAGGCACGAGGTGTAATGGGGGTGATTAGCGGCGCACTGCGCTTGCGACCCAGAGGTTGACAGTTCGATCTCCCGGCACGGCAGTCGAGTGCCTTCAATCCTCCCCACCTGTGTCCATCCAGCAGAATAAATGACAGCCGATCGGCATGTCGCGTGTAGTGGGATAAAGTGTGGGTATCGTGCATCTTCCAAGAAGTCTGGCATGCAGCTGCTTGCTCACGCTACCGCTGGCGAAAGGGCCTCCACTACAGGGAGCCTTTCGGGCGTTTTTGGCAAACTCTTCCACACCGGGCAGGTGTTTTGGAAGAGTTGGGAGTGCCCACACTTTACCCCACCGAAGGCAACTTGTCGATCGACTGTGCTGTACCCATTCATTCCGCTACCCAAATCAGAGGCCACGCTACGCCCAAACAAATAACTACCCACACGTTAAAATGTACGCCTGAAACGGTGGAACTTTTCCCGCGGTAAACGTCTCCGTCGCGAGGCTGCGCTACGGAAGGAGGTGGCGAGCCGCTTTGCTCTGTGATTGCTCTGTGTGGAGTACGACACAGGCCGGACGAGGACTCACCTCTGCAATCCGTATCGGGCAACCCTCCAGACGGACAGCTCTCTGTTGAGTAAAGAGAAACGCGGAGCATGACTCGATGAAGCAGACGTCCGACGGTAACCCTCGCGTCACCGGCAAGTCGATGAAACTCCCAAACACAGATAACCGGGCGGCTCTGGTTCAAATCCAGGCAGCTGATGTCAGCAAACTGAGTCGCAATGATCGACTTTGCACGCAACTAACGCATCGCGAGTACCGCCCATGGCCCTGCTTGGCCCCAAGCCAGATTCAGATGTCTTCTTGTGAGGCCAGCGTATCACGGAGTGGCCATGTCTCGGCTCGGCAAATAGCCAGTGGAGAACCATCCACACCGTGAGGGGCCTGTGCTGGCCTGGCTCGGATACGACAGCGGAAAAAGCCAACCCCCTGCCCGCTCCCCTCCACTCCCCCTCCCGCTCCCTTCGCCCTCCCTCCCGCTCCCTCCCCCTCCCGCTCCCCTCCCACTACACTCCCCTCTTGTCCCCACTCCCCTGCCCGCTCCCCTCCGCTCCCCCTCCACTCCCCCTCCTGCTCCCTTTCCCCTCCCTCCCGCTCCTCCTCCTCTCCCGCTCCCCTCCCGCTCCCCTCCCCGTACCCGTGGAGAGAACTCCGTTGTTGGAGTTGGTGGGGAAAGCGGCGGAGCTCTTGACGCCGTTGCTCACGGTGAAGAGCGCCACGCTGTAGCTCTTGCCCCACACCAGCCCCACTACCCGCTGCTTGAGCCCCGTGCCGTCGCTGGTGTTAAAGACGCGCCACTCCGCCATGGAGGAGTTGTTGTCGGTGGACGCCACGCTCAGGGTGAACCAGTCGAACTTGCCGCTCGGAGCGTCCCACGTGACAGTGATGGAGGAGAACGTCTTGCTGGCGTGAACGTTCACCGCCGTCAGGGGCTCTGTTGCGGAGACGATGGCAATGCAGCAGGGTCATCGTCGTCGTCGTCATCATCGTCATCATCGTCATCATCATTGTAATCGTCGTCGTCATCATCATTGTAATCGTCGTCGTCATCAAGATCGTCGTCGTCGTCATGATCATTGTAATCATCGTCATTGTCGTCATCATCATCATTATCATCGAATTTGTCACCGTCATCATCGTTGTCCTCTTTATGATTGTTTAAATAATTACGTAATTTGATAATCATCGTTGTCATTATCATTGAATCAATCACCATCAACATTAATCGATCATCATAATTTAATCCATCATCGTTTAATCAATCGTCATCATATAATCAAGCATCAGGCTGTCGTCATGATGAATAAAACGTATTTACAAATTCACATGGGCCATCAATATTATCGCTCTTAAGCACTCGTTATCATCAACCACACTCCACCCATTGCTGGATGAAGGCATCCTCAAGCCGCCTCTCATGATCCCAACACACGCACGCGAGATTATTTTATCGCGGATCGCATCGCTCCATCTCCGCGGCGGACGCGCTCCGGAGTAGCGGCGTCACCTCCTTCAGCTGCCACTCCGTCGTTCGTCTCGACCCCCGGGCGCCGTCCCGTCTGGCGACGCGTGCTCCCCAAAGCCCCTCGTTCGTCCCGTCAAATAGTGGGCGCCACAGTGGCAAGATGTTAGGTACCTCGCCTGGTATACGGGAGGTCGTGGATTCCATCCCGACGTCTGCTGTATATTTGGAGTTTGCGTGTTTCTCTCTCACGCGTATTTGGCTGCTGTACATTTTAATTGGCTGCTGTACATTTTCACGCAATAAGCCACTTGGTTGAGCTATCATTTGTGATAGGCAGGTCGCTTCTGCAAAAGAGCTACATAGCTCAGTGGGCCTTGCCCGTCATAATAAATGAATAACTATCCTCTCCCCTCTTTAAAGGCACCGGTACCAACGGGAGTGGAGTCGCTGCCGTGTTTGTTGTTGTTGTCGTTGTTGTTGGCACCGTTGTTGTTGCGTGCGCTCGTGCACCGCTGCCAATGCAGCAGCAGCGCCGCGAAAAGAAATAGGTAGCTCAATCGATTACTTAACACGCTGGGACATCGCAACGATGGTGCAGCGAGCGCCGTGTCACGCGCTCGTGATAAGAGGAGAGCGAGAGAGAGAGAGTGAGCACACAGAGAGAGTGAGCACAGAGAGAGAGTGAGCACACAGAGAGAGTGAGCACAGAGAGAGAGTGAGCACACAGAGAGAGTGCAGCTCCACACTCTCCACGAACCGCCCCCCCCCCCCCCCCGAGCGCCGTACTGGTCGTGGCGTTGAGCTGCACGGCATCGCCCGTCAAGTTGCCGCGGTAGCTGTGGACCGTGAAGCTGTACGTGGCGCCGGGCAGCAGCCCCGAGAAATTGACGCGCAGCTCGGAATCGGGCAGCGACTTCCAGGCAACCACCGGATTGCCACTGCCTGCGAGTGTCAGCGTGCAGTTGAAGCCGTCCACAGAGCCATTGGGGTGCAGCCAGCTCAGGTGAAGCTCCGTCGTCGTTTGCAACGACACGCTGACGTTCCATGGGGGTGGAGGCGCTGCGGTGGGGTGGGAGGAAATGGGGGGGGGGGGGAGCAGACGAGGGAAGAGAGAGTGGGGAGTCACTCCAGAAGCAGTGCTGACCAGTGATCATTTCAGTCAGAATGTCAATGTTGTAGTCTTGTTGTTTTGTTTATGAAAGTATCTCACTGCAAAATCTCTGAAGGTGGAACAAACCGTTTGCAAGGGTGTCCAGGGTGTCGACTGACAAGGAGACAGCAAACACGCGTGCTGACATGTTAGTCTTAGTCTGTCGATTATTGCAGTCGCTCGGTCCAGTCGACTAAAGCAGTCTCAGGTTCAGGTGACCGTCAGTCAGAAACTGTTGCTTTGATTTCCCTCCCCAGGCCCACACACACAGACGGGAGCAGCCGCAAACAGGGCGACCTCACAGTCAACATTTACCGAATCATCTTCACAAAAACACGCGGGGCGTTGTGACGTTGAAGGCAACGATCCGCAAGCTTTAGAAGAGACGGCTTGCGTGCGGCGCGCCGAGCGAGTGTCGTGGCGCGCACGGGCAGCGTGGTTCTGGGCAGGTGCCTTACGTCGTTCGCGTGGAAATTTGGAAAAGGGGCCGAGGGCCACGCGACGGCTCTGACCGAATTCGCGTCGCGAGACCCTCGCGCCCCGCTTGGCGCGGGGATTTTTACGACGGCGTCAACTCGGCGGCGAGCGGGATCGCAAGCTCGGCTGCGCAGAACGGCGCCGCGTGCTGAGCTCGCGCGACATCCGCTCCGTGGCATCGCAGGTTGCACGCAGAGCCATCCCCAGGGTATGCGGGTGAATCAGAATATTTATTCATACTGGAGGAATCCGATGAGCTATAAAGCTCTTTTTAACAGATGTCCAGTAGGGGGCGGTAGTTTGAAGCCATCGGGGGGGGGGGGGGGGGGGGCCCACGTGGTGGGTGAGTTGCCCCGGGTCCCGCAACACCCCCCCCTCGCCCGCCCACTACGGACGGTCCTGGTCGCAGACGTCAAAGGTACGGACTCAGAGTCGCGCTGTTTGTGAGTAGCGGTCGCCGCGACTCCGCGCGCGGCGAGGACAGGCGGCGTCCGCAGGGCCTCACCCAGGCAGTCTCTTCCCACAGAGTACGCGGAGACGTCCTCGTAGAAGGGCAGGCACGAGCAGTTGAAGGAGCCCTCGGTGTTGGTGCACGTCCCGAACGGCGAGCAGTCGTTCAGCGTCGAGTTCTGGCACTCGTCGTAGTCTGCACGCACAAACATCCCCCGCAACGCCTTGAACAGAACGTCGGCGCTGTTGGCGAGTAGCCCACTGTGCTGACCGTCACGGCACGCGACGGGGAGTGGGGGTCGGGGTGGCGAGCGCGACGCTCACCGGACATCACGACGGACGAGACGTTCATGGGAAGTTTCGTGTCGTTGGCCACGGCGAGCAGGATGTTTCTCAGGCCGTTCTCCACCGTCTGCATGGTCATGTTTACGACATTGTCCACCGCGATGATGCTGTCCACCACGATGCTGCCCTTCTTGAAGGATTTCACCACCACCTTCACGTTGTCGCTCTTCAACTCAACCTTCAAGTGACTGTTCATCTGTTAAGTAAATGGATAAAACGGAAGTAAATAAAAATCAAGCGCACGCACGGATCCTGCAACGCAATTGACACGCCGCGTTTGTCCACCTCGAGGTGGTCGTTTAATTTTTTACCGCCAGGTTTTTTGGGCGATAATCCTTTAATCGATGTGGTGCGGTTTTCTCTTGGTCGAGTCCCCGAATGGCAAACGCAACCCCGGACTAAAATTTAATTCGTACTGGATCACCACTATGAGAGTGATCGTGCCCGCTGTGACAGGGACACACACACATGGACGGACGGATACGCAGACGGACAGACAGAGCGCATGCGTTCGTTCACGCTTTCAACTTTAGTTGGAGAGCTTTCAAAACCAACAAGTTCCAGACTCTGCTTGGCCTCTCACCGATGTTTCCAGTTTTTTTTTCATTGTTTTGAATTTTTCCGAAGATTCGTTTTCCAAATCGCTGTCGAATTCTTCCTCGATCTTGGTTTTCGACTCGAAGACTTTCATTTCTGAAAAAAACAAAACAAAACGAAAGGAATCATCGGGCGCAATCAAAACCCTGATGGCCGACGGCTCGGGACCGGCCATGGAATAGCAGCCCAGGATGGCAAAGATGCCCCCAGAAGGAGTGGAACGTCCTCCCAGGAGATTGGAAGCAAGGAAGCGCAGGGATTTAGAGACGGATATTTTACCGTCACGGGAGCATGCGCCGCATCCCTACATCCAGCAGTGGATAGATCGTGGCCGATGACGATCGGCGAATGTGGAAGTTTGGTTTGCACCCTCAATTTGGGGGAGGCGGTGGGGGGGGAGGCATGATAGCCGTTGCCATCGCTTGCTTAATTTCCAAAGAGTATCCTCTTGTTGAGGGAGCTGCTGTCCTGAGAAATCCATACACGTTCCTGGGACATCGCCCGTTACTTAATAGTGCGATGCGCAAGACAAATGTGAGATGGTATTCGTCATCATGCGGCGTCTCCTTCCCGTGACACGTCCCGGATTTTTCTGTACCCCAGAGGTGGAGACCCCTGCACGATGTAAAACTATTAACTATTTTTATTTTACCAGCTAAGGCCCACTGAGCTATGTAGCTTTTTTTCGGATAGCTCAACAAAGTGGCTTACCGTGTGGAAATTGACAGCAGCCACATACTCGAAACGCACGTTTCTAAATATAGAGGGGAAAACCGGAGAACCCGGAGAAAAAATCCACGTGACCGTGGGGAGAGAGACACGCAAGCTCTAAATATACAGCAGGCATCGCAGTCGGGATCGAACTCACGACCTCCTGCAGACCAGGCGACGGAATTAACATCTCGCCATCAGAGCCTTCCTCGTTCTCGGTAAACTCTCACGATCACAGTGAGTTTCGTGGTGGCAATTAAATTCTCCAAGGGATCGAACTTACGACCTCCTGCATACGAGGCGAGGGAGATAACATCTCCTAGCCACCGCAGTGCCCTCAATGTAAAACGCGCGACAGCGGCTACCTTCTTGGCATAAGTCTCCGCGGAAGCCGATGGGACACGCGCAGGTGTAGTTGCTGGGCTTGTTGATACACTCGGCGCGGTGACGGCACCGGTGCTGGTCGCAGTAATTGACTGCACGCACACACGCACGCACGCGCACGCACGCACACGGGGGGGGGGGGGGGGTTCATCACGTGCATTCGTTGAGCGCGCGCGGCCCTGAGAGGCACACAACGCGCACGCGTGAGGCAGGCCGCGACAGACGCAGTGCCGGCAGTGGCTATCGATGGTGTGCAGGCGGTGCAATTGCGCCGTGGGCCCGAGCACTGAGCTAACGAGGAGGGGGTGGAAATTAAACACACGGCACGACTGCGATCGCGTTCCTGGCACCACTGCCATCGATGAATTGCATCAGCTCGTTCGATTAGTGGGAAAAATTGAAGGAAAATATATGGGTAAAAAAAAGTTTTAAGCAGTGCCCAAGTCATCGCATCTTGACAGGTGAACATTTGCCAAATGGAAGCAAGGGGTTGAGCCTGGGCAGTGCTTGGATGGGCGACGGCCATGCATAACAGGTGCTATAGGCTGCGGTGGGGCTACGTGGTGAGTGGCACAGGGCAGTGGGGGAACATCCCACGTCTATGCCCCCCGCCTTCACCAACCCGCACTGACCAGCGTGGTGAAGTATGGTCAAGTAACCCCCACGACCCACACTGCGTGAGGAGGCCCTTATTTAGCAGTTGATTGGCAAGGCGCTGTCTTGCACGTCGTTATTATTATTGTTGTTGTTATTTAGTAGCTGGTGCATTTAAACATTGATTTGTGTGAGGCCCTCATTGGCAGTGGATGTGTGGTTGCTGGGTGATGCATGTTGCTGTTGTGGTTCAACTGTTAGAAGGAAGCTGTTAGTTACGTTACATTCTCCATGACACGAACGCGAGACATCGTCCTTATGAGCTGTTAGTTTCCTGACAATCCCCGTGACACTGACACGTGACATCGCCGTTAGAAGCTGTTAGTTCAGTGACAATCCCCGTGACACTGACACGAGACATCGTCCTTATGAGCTGTTAGTTCCGTGACAATCCCCGTGACACTGAGACGTGACATCGCCGTTAGAAGCTGTTAGTTCAGTGACAATCCCTGTGACACTGACACGTGACATCGCCGTTAGGAGCTGTTAGTTCAGTGACAATCCCCGTGACACTGAGACGTGACATCGCCGTTAGGAGCTGTTAGTTCAGTGACAATCCCTGTGACACTGACACGTGACATCGCCGTTAGGAGCTGTTAGTTCAGTGACAATCCCTGTGACACTGACACGTGACATCGCCGTTAGAAGCTGTTAGTTCCGTGACAATCCCCGCGACACTGAGATGTGACATCGCCGTTAGAAGCTGTTAGTTCCGTGACAATCCCCGCAACACTGACACGTGACATCGCCGTTAAAAGCTGTTAGTTCCGTGACAATCCCCGTGACACTGAGACGTGACATCGCCGTTAAAAGCTGTTAGTTCCGTGACAATCCCTGTGACACTGACACGTGACATCGTCCTTATGAGCTGTTAGTTCCATGACAATCCCCGTGACACTGACACGTGACATCGCCGTTAGTTCAGTGACAATCCCCGTGACACTGACACGTGACATCGCCGTTAGTTCAGTGACAATCCCCGTGACACTGACAAGTGACATCGCTGTTAGAAGCTGTTAGTTCCGTGACAATCCCCGTGACACTGACACGTGACATCGCCGTTAGAAGCTGTTAGTTACGTGACAATCCCTGTGACACTGACATGTGACATCGCCGTTAGGAGCTGTTAGTTCCGTGACAATCCCTGTGACACTGACACGAAACATCGCCGTTAGAAGCTGTTAGTTCCGTGACAATCCCCGTGACACTGAGATGTGACATCGCTGTTAGAAGCTGTTAGTTCAGTGACAATCCCTGTGACACTGACACGAGACATCGCCGTTAGAAGCTGTTAGTTCAGTGACAATCCCCGCGACACTGAGACGTGACATCGCCGTTAGAAGCTGTTAGTTCAGTGACAATCCCCGTGACACTGAGACGTGACATCGCCGTTAGAAGCTGTTAGTTCAGTGACAACCCCTGTGACACTGACACGAGACATCGCCGTTAGGATCTGTTAGTTCAGTGACAATCCCTGTGACACTGACACGAGACATTGCCGTTAGGAGCTGTTAGTTCAGTGACAATCCCCGTGATACTGACACGAGACATCGCTGTTAGAAGCTGTTAGTTCAGTGACAATCCCTGTGACACTGACACGAGACATCGCCGTTAGGATCTGTTAGTTCAGTGACAATCCCTGTGACACTGACACGAGACATCGCCGTTAGGAGCTGTTAGTTCAGTGACAATCCCCGTGATACTGACACGAGACATCGCCGTTAGAAGCTGTTAGTTCAGTGACAATCCCTGTGACACTGAGACGTGACATCGCCGTTAGAAGCTGTTAGTTCCGTGACAATCCCCGTGACACTGAGATGTGACATCGCCGTTAGAAGCTGTTAGTTCAGTGACAATCCCCGTGACACTAACACGTGACATCGCCGTCAGAAGCTGTTAGTTCCGTGACAATCCCTGTGACACTGACACGAGACATCGCCGTCAGAAGCTGTTAGTTCCGTGACAATCCCCGTGACACTGACACGAGACATCGCCGTTAGAAGCTGTTAGTTCAGTAACAATCCCCGTGACACTGACACGTGACATCGCCGTTAGAAGCTGTTAGTTCAGTGACAATCCCCGCGACACTGACACGAGACATCGCCGTTAGAAGCTGTTAGTTCAGTGACAATCCCCGCGACACTGAGACATGACATCGCCGTTAGAAGCTGTTAGTTCCGTGACAATCCCCGTGACACTGACATGTGACATCGCCGTTAGAAGCTGTTAGTTCAGTGACAATCCCCGTGACACTGAGACGTGACATCGCCGTTAGAAGCTGTTAGTTCAGTGACAATCCCTGTGACACTGACATGTGACATCGCCGTTAGAAGCTGTTAGTTCAGTGACAATCCCCGTGACACTGACATGTGACATCGCCGTTAGAAGCTGTTAGTTCAGTGACAATCCCCGTGACACTGAGATGTGACATCGCCGTTAGAAGCTGTTAGTTCAGTGACAATCCCCGTGACACTGAGACGTGACATCGCCGTTAGAAGCTGTTAGTTCAGTGACAATCCCTGTGACACTGACATGTGACATCGCCGTTAGAAGCTGTTAGTTCAGTGACAATCCCCGTGACACTGACATGTGACATCGCCGTTAGAAGCTGTTAGTTCCGTGACAATACCCGTGACACTGACACGTGACATCGCCGTTAGAAGCTGTTAGTTCCGTGACAATCCCCGTGACACTGAGACGTGACATCGCCATTAGGAGCTGTTAGTTCAGTGACAATCCCCGTGACACTGACACGTGACATCGCCGTTAGAAGCTGTTAGTTCCGTGACAATCCCCGCGACACTGACACGAGACATCGCCGTTAGGAGCTGTTAGTTCCGTGACAATCCCCGCGACACTGACACGAGACATCGCCGTTAGAAGCTGTTAGTCCCGTGACAATCCCCGTGACACTGACGTTCGTTTTTGGCACGTTAATTGTTAATTGAATTAAAGGAGCAAATGCGTGATATAATAAAACGAGAAAGGACAAGCTTGCTGCTGGCTGAGCACGCGATAGCCCGCGGCGTTTAAAAGCCACGGCTTCTCCGTGTTTGTCAGCCTCCCCCCTTGCACTCTCCATGTTTTTGGACGTGCGAGACGATGTGCAGACCTCGGAGGGAAAAGCACAAGTTGCTGGTGTTAGAAGCCCGCGGTTAGTTTCACCACGTTCCGCGTGACACCGATTGCCCGGCACTGCCGCCCCGTGGCGCTTGCACCACTTTTCCACTGGCACGTCCGAGCCGAGCCCATTGCGGGGACCTCACGGTTTTGTTTCCCCCCACCGGCTATTTGCCGAGCCGAGCCGGAACCCAAACCGCGATGCGCTGGCCTCGCAAGAAGACATGTGTGTGTTTGTATTGTGGAACTTCGTTTGCACCGTACGTAGCCAACCACACTAATCGGAGGTGCGGGAGGAAGGACAACAAACTAAACTCAAAATGACTTTTAAAGAAATGAGTTTTCAATCTAAATTATTTAAAAGCACACAGCTCCGAGTGGCTTCCTAATAGCACCATCTGACTCGGGGCCAAGCAGGGCCAGGCACGGGGCTCCCACCACATTCCTCGCTACACTGAGAGGACGTGGAATCCTCACGTCAACTGTACACGCGTGTCTCAACCCGTTTGTCGATTGTGACGTCGGCGGACCGGCTCGGCTACTGCAGTGGACCGGCTGGCTTGGCTGGCTTGGCTCAGTTGTGCGGTGGAAAAGCAGTCATTGTCACGCCTGCCCGGGGAACGGATGGCTGGCTGCCAGGGCAGCTGGACGTACTGATTTCACAAAACTCTCCCAAGAAGGCGGTCCCGCAGTCGCACAGCGGCAAGGTGGTGTTGCTTTGGCACTGCCCGCTGTTGTTGCACGGGTTGGGCAGGCACCTGTCAAAGCCTGTTTAGTTTTTGTAAAAAGTAAAAACACACGCGCGCACCTCCGATTAGCATGGTTGGCTGCGTACGCTGCGAAAGAAGTTCAACATAAGGTGCATTCATACATCAGACACGTGGCTCGCGTTCCTTCCGTCTGCTTCCTCCTCTCCCCCTCACTTGGGGACCTTGAGCCTTGAACACGGCAGGGAGATCGAGGGCGGCTTCCCCTCGCCTCCCTCGACAGGTGAGTTTCGGGTGACGCCGCCACCTCAACCGCAGGGCGGCGTCATACCCAGAACAATGGCGCCGACATACGCGGGCAGGAGTCCAACCGAGGTGATTTGAATCGCACGGCCGATTGTATCCACTGCACCACAATAACTTAGTAACACCCCGCCACAAACACACAGGTACACGATCAAACACACAGCTGACAACTGCAAGTTGAACATTGTAAATAAGTTAAAGGTAAAGGCGCAGCCCTGCAATAGCTCACTCACGCTACTGCTGCCGGAAGGGCCTCCACTAGAGAGCCCCTCTAGCATATAGGCCCACTGCTCTTCCACACTGGCCAGACGACTCGGAGTGCCCACACTTGACCCCACCACGCGCGCCCTGCCCATCGACGTAACAGAGGCGCGGCAACTTGAGCAATCCGCGGCACTCCTTCGACCGCTACGCCGGGGAGACCGAACCGCACCGCGTTGCAACAGTCCGGCGCGCTGTCCGTTCCACCGCGACGGCGCCGACCTGCCCAAGGGCGCTGGCTAGGCGCAACGGACTCACTCACCGGTGCTCTTAACGCTGGTTGTGGGGGGCGTTGTCGGCGTGCTGGTGCTGATGACACCCGCGCTGGTGCTGGGCGACTGAGAGCTCGTGCTGCTAGGGGTTGTGGCGGTGCTGGAATTTGTGGTTGTGGTGGTGGTGGTGCTGGCAGTCGTGGTGGTGCGGGGGGTTGTGGTGGTGCTGGAGTTTGTGGTGGTGCTGCTGGGGATTGTGGTGGTGATGGGGGTTCTGGTGGTGCTGGGGGTTGTGGTGGTGGTGCTGGGGGTTGTGGTGGTGATGGGGGTTGTGATGGTGCTGAAGTTTGTGGTGGTGCTGGAGTTTGTGGTGGTGCTGGGGATTGTGGTGGTGATGAGGGTTGTGGTGGTGGTGCTGGGGGTTGTGGTGGTGATGGGGGTTGTGATGGTGCTGGAGTTTGTGGTGGTGCTGGAGTTTGTGGTGGTGCTGGGGATTGTGGTGGTGATGAGGGTTGTGGTGGTGGTGCTGGGGGTTGTGGTGGTGGTGCGGGGGGTTGTGGTGGAGCTGGTGTTTGTGGTGGTGCTGGGGGTTGTAGTGATGCTGGTGTTTGTGGTGGTGCTGGTGTTTGTGGTGGTGCGGGGGGTTGTGGTGGTGCTGAAGCTTGCGTCGCCACCACCGCTGCCGGGCAACGTCGAGTTCACGCCGCCGAGCGTGCCGTTGCTGGGTTGCGTCCCCGTCACGGACGTTGCCGCGGTGTCTGGAACAAGAAGAGGGTGGTCACGGTGACGACGCGCCCCGTGCCACACTATCGCGCGTTTTCGCCATGACACGGCTCTTCCATTTGGGAACGCTTTCCGCACAACGCGGAACGCGCGCACCGTTATAACGCGGCTTCTGAGCGAGTTAGCTTTGGTAATTCACGCCGATACAGCTGCATGACGTATGCCTGCCACTAAGTGAAACACTATTCCCCGTGTTAAAACATTTAATTTAGTCCGTTGAATTATTTCTTTTTACTTACGAAGAGCAGCTTCTGTTTGACATTTAAATACGCGGTGTGGATTCAACAGCAACGAGGCAGGACATGGGCCACACTCAAGATCGGGGTTCGGGACGCGGCGCTTATCCAGGCAGCGGAAACCAGAGAAAATCCTCGAACAAAAGACGCAACCGGAGTTCCATGCAGGTTGTCACCAACCAGCCCGCCCCAAACGAAAAGACTGAACACAAATGCCGGATGAATGAAGACTGTGCCGGGAGGAGCTTCTGAGAGGCGTCGCTCACTCACCGGGACGCGCGGTGCCATTGCTGACGATGGCGTCCGGAGGTCTCGCGCTGGAGGAGGTTGACACGCCGGACGTGACCGTGATGCCTGGCACGCGAGACACCGGGCGTTAGGGCAGCGCTCGTAAGACTCTGAACGCGTCAGTGGCGCTTGGAGTGAGGGCGGACAGCTTGCGGGGGTTAGCGGCGGCTGCGATCGACCGTTGTGCTACGGCGGCTCAAGGGAGGGGCAGTACATGTGTTGAACTTTCAAACCTCTGAAGGAGGTAGGAAGTCGGATCCTGACAATTTTGGGCCACATTTTTCTGTGGAGTAAAATTTGGAACCTTTGAGGTCAGGCATTACAAAACGTGCACGCTCCGAAAACGTGCACTCATTCCAAAACATGCATCGCATTTTCCAATTTTAATAAATAACAACTACTTTTATCATGTTAATCGTGTCACTACAACCCCGCAATGTCACCACTCCCACCAGTCACTCACAGCTAAATGAATGTTAACGATCACGTCGGCATGCACGTGCAATGCACTGCGAACTTAATAGCAGCTACTCGAACTTACAAGCGCTTGTCCGTGTACGGCCGCTGTACGTGTGTAACACGCACTGCCGCCGTACCCGCTGTACGCATGAATGCTGTTCAACGTTGAATGAACGTCACACTTCAACTTTGCTGCAACGGCGCCGGACCAACGATGCAAATGACGCGTCGAAGCACACGTCACCTTCAGCGCGTGCATAACAGTCGACGCGTTGATGCATGCGTCACCTTCAGCGCATGCGTAACAAGCGACGCGTTGACACATGCATCTCCTTCAGCGCGTGCGTAACAATCGACACGTTGACGCATGCGTCACCTTCAGCACATGCGTAACAGTCGACGCGTCGTCACATGCGTCACCTTCTGTGCATGTGTAACAGTCGACGCGTTGACGCATGCGACACCTTCACGGCGTGCGTAACAAGCGACGAGTTGAAGCATGCATCACCTTCACGGCCGGCAAGGCCCGCCACTACATGCCGACACCACGTGCTTAGCCAATGAGCGCACGTGCATTGTCGCGTTACCTGTGGCGACGGTGCTGGGTGTGGGGATGGGCAATGTGAGGTTAGTAGCCGCGGTTGGATTTGTCGCACTTCCTGTGCCATTGACGTTAGGAACTGCAGCAGGAGCACTGGTGTTAGAAGCGGGAGTTGGTTTTGGCAAAGTCTCTGTGCCATTGACGTTAGGCTTTGCCGACGTAGCACTGGTGTTAGAAGCAGGGGTTGATATTGGCACAGTCTCTGTGACACCGACGTTAGGCTTTGCCGACGTAGCACTGGTGTTAGAAGCAAGAGTTGGTATTGGCACAGTCTCTGTGACACCGACGTTAGGCTTTGCCGACGTAGCACTGGTGTTAGAAGCAGGAGTTGGTTTTGGCACAGTCTCTTTGACACCGACGTTTTGCTTTGCCGATGTAGCACCGGTGTTAGAAGCGGGAGTTGGTATTGTTACAGTCTCTGTGACACCGACGTTTGTCTTTGCCGACGTAGCACCGGTGTTAGAAACGGGAGTTGGTATTGGCACAGTCTCTGTTGCCCCGACGTTAGGCTTTGCCGATGTAGCACCGGTGTTAGAAATGGGAGTTGGTATTGGCACATTCTCTGTTACCCCGACGTTAGGCTTTGCCGACGTAGCACCGCTGTTAAAACCGGGAGTTGGTATTGGCACAGTCTCTGTGACACCGACGTTTTGCTTTGCCGACGTAGCAATGGTGTTAGAAGCAGGAGTTGGTATTGGCACAGTCTTTGTGGCACTGACGTTAGGCTTTGCCGATGTAACACCGGTGTTAGAAACGGGGGTTAATATTGGCACATTCTCTGTGACACCGAGGTTAGGCTTTGCCGACGTAGCACCGGTGTTAGAAGCAGGAGTTGGTATTGGCACATTCACTGTGGCACTGATGTTAGGCTTTGCCGATGTAGCACCGGTGTTAGAAACGGGGGTTAATATTGGCACATTCTCTGTGACACCGACGTTAGGCTTTGCTGACGTAGCACCGGTGTTAGAAGCAGGAGTTGGTATTGGCACAGTCTCTGTGGCACTGATGTTAGGCTTTGCCGATGTAGCACCGGCGTTAGAAGCAGGGGTTGGTATTGGCACATTCTCTGTGACACCGACGTTAGGCTTTGCCAACGTAGCACCGGTGTTAGAAGCAGGAGTTGGTATTGGCACAGTCTCTGTGGCACTGATGTTAGGCTTTGCCGATGTAGCACCGGTGTTAGAAGCAGGGGTTGGTATTGGCACAGTCTCTGTGACACCGACGTTAGGCTTTGCTGATGTAGCACCGGTGTTAGAAGCGGGAGTTGGTATTGTTACAGTCTCTGTGACACCGACGTTTGGCTTTGCCGACGTAGCAGCGGTGTTAGAAACGGGAGTTGGTATTGGCACAGTCTCTGTTACCCCGACGTTAGGTTTTGCCGATGTAGCACCGGTGTTAGAAATGAGAGTTGGTATTGGCACAGTCTCTGTTACCCCGACGTTAGGCTTTGCAGATGTAGCACCGGTGTTAGAAACAGGAGTTGGTATTGCCACATTCTCTGTGACACTGGCGTTAGGCTTTGCCGACGTAGCACCAGTGTTAGAAGCAGGAGTTGGTATTGGCACAGTCTCTGTGACACCGACGTTAGGCTTTGCCGATGTAGCACCGGTGTTAGAAACGGGAGTTGGTATTGGCACATTCTCTGTGACACCGACGTTCGGCTTTGCCGACGTAGCACCGGTATTAGAAGCAGGAGTTGGTATTGGCACAGTCTCTGTGGCACTGATGTTAGGCTTTGCCGATGTAGCACCGGTGTTAGAAACGGGAGTTGGTATTGGCACAGTCTCTGTGGCACTGATGTTAGGCTTTGCCGATGTAGCACCGGTATTCGAAGCAGGAGTTGGTATAGGCACAGTCTCTGTGGCACTGATGTTAGGCTTTGCCGATGTAGCACCGGTGTTAGAACTGGGGATTGGTATTGGCACAGACTCTGTGACACCGACGTCAGGCTTTGCCGATGTAGCACCGCTGTTAAAACCGGGAGTTGGTATTGGCACATTCTCTGTGACACTGGCGTTAGGCTTTGCCGACGTAGCACCGGTGTTAGAAACGGGAGTTGGTATTGCCACATTCTCTGTGACACTGGCGTTAGGCTTTGCCGACGTAGCACCGGTGTTAGAAATGAGAGTTGGTATTGGCACAGTCTCTGTGACACCGACGTTAGGCTTTGCCGAAGTAGCACCGGTGTTAGAAACGGGAGTTGGAATTGGCACATTCTCTGTGGCACTGATGATAGGCTTTGCGGATGTAGCACCTGTGTTAGAAATGAGAGTTGGTATTGGCACAGTCTCTTTGGCACTGATGCTAGGCTTTGCCGACGTAGCACCGGTGTTAGAAACGGGAGTTCGTATTGGCACAGTCTCTGTGGCACTGATGTTAGGCTTTGCCGACGTAGCACCGGTGTTAGAAACGGGAGTTCGTATTGGCACAGTCTCTGTGACACCGACGTTAGGCTTTGCCGATGTAGCCCCAGTGTTAGAAACGAGAGTTGGTATTGGCACAGTCTCTGTGGCACTGATGTTAGGCTTTGCGGATGTAGCACCTGTGTTAAAAATGAGAGTTGGTATTGGCACAGTCTCTGTGACACCGACGTTTGGCTTTGCCGACGTAGCACCGATGTTAGAAACGGGAGTTGGTATTGGCACAGTCTCTGTGGCACTGATGTTAGGCTTTGTCGATGTAGCACCGGTATTAGAAGCAGGAGTTGGTATTGGCACAGTCTCTGTGGCACTGATGTTAGGCTTTGCCGATGTAGCACCGGTGTTAGAACTTGGGATTGGTATTGGCACAGACTCTGTGACACCGACGTCAGGCTTTGCTGACGTAGCACCGGTGTTAGAAACGGGAGTTGGTATTGGCACAGTCTCTGTGACACCGACGTTAGGCTTTGCAGATGTAGCACCGGTGTAAGAAACGGGAGTTGGTATTGGCACAGTCTCTGTGACACTGACGTTAGGCTTTGCCGACGTAGCACCGGTGTTAGAACCGGGAGATGGTATTGGCACAGTCACTGTGACACCGATGCTAGGCTTTGCCGATGTAGCACCGGTGTTAGAAACGGGAGTTGGTATTGGCACAGTCTCTGTGACACTGACGTTAGGCTTTGCTGACGTAGCACCGATGTTAGAAACGGGAATTGGTATTGGCACAGTCTCTGTGACACTGATGTTAGGCTTTGCCGATGTAGCACCGGTGTAAGAAACGGGAGTTGGTATTGGCACAATCTCTGTGGCACCGACGTTAGGCTTTGCCGACGTAGCACCGGTGTTAGAAACGGGAGGTGGTATTGGCACAGTCTCTGTGACACCGACGTTAGGCTTTGCCGATGTAGCACCGGTGTTAGAAATGGGAGTTGGTATTGGCACAGCCTCTGTGACACTGGCGTTAGGCTTTGCCGACGTAGCACCGATGTTAGAAGCAGGAGTTGGTATTGGCACAGTCTCTGTGACACCGACGTTAGGCTTTGCCGACATAACACCGGTGGTATAACCGGGAGTTGGTATTGGCACAGTCTCTGTTACCACGACGTTAGGCTTTACCGATGTAGCACCGGTGTTTGAACTGGGAGATGATATTGGCACAGTCACTGTGACACCGATGCTAGGCTTTGCCGATGTAGCACCGGTGTTAGAAACGGGAGTTGGTATTGGCACAGTCTCTGTGACACCGACGTTAGGCTTTGCAGATGTAGCACCGGTGTAAGAAACGGGAGTTGGTATTGGCACAGTCTCTGTGACACCGACGTTTGGCTTTGCCGACGTAGCACCGGTGTTAGAAACGGGAGTTGGTATTGGCACAGTCTCTGTGACACCGCTGTTAGGCTTTGCCGACATAGCACCGGTGTTAGAAACGGGAGTAGGAATTGGCCCATTATCTGTGACACCGACGTTTGGCTTTGCCAACGTAGCACCGGTGTTAGAAACGGGAGTTGGTATTGGCACAGTCTCTGTGACACCGACGTTTGTCTTTGCCGACGTAGCACCGGTGTTAGAAACGGGAGTTGGTA